ATATGTATGTATATATATACACCCACACACATATACACATGCGCGCACACATTACCTTTTAAGCCGCAGTTAAGAGTCAAATACATGTGGTGAGAATAAAAAGGGGCATGTGCTTTAGAGAGGATGTAGGGCACATAACTATTAAATAAACATCATTTAGGGGACATGTAGGATAGGTGGATTCCTATGATATAGGGACTTTAAGGTTTTTAATAAAGATAGTTTAATCTCTCTACAATTTACTTCCCATAGTTTGCGTGGGTATATCTTTTTCTCTCTAAAATCTCATGTAATTTTGGTTACTTACATAATGCTCAATCTAAATATCTTTTTCTTATAATTTTGGTAGGATCACGTGAGTATTGTTGGGTGAGTGTGGCAATTAAAGGCCTTATGAGTGCGTATAAAATGAAATGATATTTTGAAACATGAACTCAATTGGAGTATGATCCCTTGTAGACCATACTAAGCAAATGATGTTTGTTGATACCGGACTGGGCTTGACGAGCTAGGCCAGTCGATTGGGAAAAATCTACGTTACCTCAGCATAGAAAATTATTCGATAAGGGTTCTAATAGGTTATCCCTTGATGATGTCAGAATATGCCCGGATAACTGAGCCGAGGAACTGTGTGACCCTTGTATGTGATGATGGCCTTTAGAGACAGGGTTCAAAGACTCATCCGCGAGCCATCACACAGCATGCATAATGATAGCTGTTTCGAAAAAGCGAACCACCTTTCAAGGTGAAGCTTATGCATGTATGAGATATACTCTTATGCGTCATAGGAGCTATGGTCGCATCAGGTCTAGGCGACCTTGGTACATCTATAGGGGAGAACCTAAAATCCACAAACTGGGATTACGACCCCTTGGATCATTGGCCAGACTTTGGTGACCCAGTAATGAGCCCCTGTATGGACTATGAGTCATGAAAAACACAGGGTCGATTTGATAAAGCAAGTGTGGACCGTAGTCCACAGTTGAAAGTAGATTGCCCCAGCGTTTATTTATTTAATTCTAAAACCATGTGGATCTTTTTCTTATCTAATGAATTTAATTATGTTTTTTTAATGATATATGATTTTTAGAATTATTATTTGAATTTTTCTAGATCTCTAGATATTTTATTTATCAAATTTGGATTTATAAAAAATGAGATATTGATTTTAGATTGATTTAAATATTCAAATTTGATTTTATGGATTTCTAAAAATCATATAATTAATTTTAATAATTTTAATATTGCATGAGAGACCCAATATGTTAATGGGCCCACCATTTAATGTGGGTGGGGGCCATGAAGTATCCACCTAGGGTGGGACACCCCACCTTAATGAAACTTTCCATGTGTTAGTTCAAGCTTTGGCTTGAAGAAAAAACTTTGAAGTGTTTTGGAAAGATTTTGCCTTGAGGAAGCTTTCAAAGGATTTTTGGAAAGCATAAGAAGGCTTGTGCATAATTTTGGTAAGCACTATTTTATGAATTGAGTTATTTTATTTAATTTCTATTGATGGGAAAATGGTTTAAGAATAGGGGATAAATATTGTAGTACTTTCCATAATGTTGCTGGCTCATCTATAGAATGGAGGGCTCAAATCTCTCACCCCACAAGTCACCCAAGATCAATGGTTCATATTCAATTTCATAAGAAGAGGCAAACCAAGGAAAATTCTAAGAAACCCTAATCTTGTTCAAAGCGTATAAAAATATATTGTCTCTACTGAAAATCTCGATACCTTATCTTTCTGTCTCTCTATCCCTCTCTTAAAAAAAGTTTATCTCTCTCATGAAAGCCCAATCCCCACTCTCTCATTTTTGAGATATCTCTCTTTCCCACATGCTGAAAGGACCTAAGGGGTTTAGGTTATTGAGAGTTGTC